TTTTATTGGACAGATCGGTCCTGAGTCACAAATTTCAAGTTTGGAAGTTTGTACTACCACGATTGTCCACCATGCTCATAATCACCGGGTTCAATCTTAAGAATGTCATCCCGGAAGTAAATATCTGGTTGTTTTCCGCGTAATTTTGCATCAATTTTATGTAACACAGACGATGAACTCTCAGATGATGAACCGGCTCTAAGAGTGCGGAAATATTGAATCGCCAAGCGATCAATGAGAGAATAATAAATGGATGCTGATTTATGATTTTCGCTATTCGTTTTAGTTAAAGGATTCTTTGATGATAGCTCTATATAATCTAGCCTAATATAGGATATAACAAATTATTAATCTATTAATAACCAATAGTCATTGCCTATAATTTTGTAGAGTTACTTACCAGTTATCAACAGTTAACAGGATCCATTTCTTCAGATAAAAGAGTGCATCATCAAATTTTAACTGCCGTTGCATAGATAATTGCATTTCTCTTAATGATCGTACTGTCTGAGCGTTTGTTAGTTCTTTAAACATATTTTTTAATTCCATCGGCACTTCTACAACACTGTGAACATAACAAATTCTTCGAAGTCTTCCACTTCCATGTAACCATTTAAAAGCCAAGCATCGTCTCTATCAAGAATAAGATGGTTTCCATTCCAGAAGCCATTATGGGGTACATCATCTAAGAGATCTTTTATAATTGTTCCACTTTTAAGTATAAGGCGAGGTCTTGAAGAGTAAAATGATTGTGAAGTTGATGATTGAAAGGTTGATGATCGTAAAGTTGATGATTGAAATGGTGTGGGACCAGATGGAATCCATGAATCACTATCATCTTCCACCGTGTCTGAAGTTTCTGGTTCGGTTTCATCTTCATTTATTCCGCGTGGACGTTTTAACTTACGATGGTTATCTGTACTCTCTAATCGTCTCGTCACGTTCTCTCTCACCAGGTGTCTCTAAATATCTTGTTGGAGTGTCGAGCGTACAGCATAAGTAGTAAGTTCCTCCTACAATAGCAGAAGAGTAGTAAACACATTAGCGTTTCCATTGCATCATCTTGGCAGATCATGTACATACAACTAAAGCTGAGCGTTCACACAAAGCCTCAATTTTCTGTTTTCGTGCTGAGGTGGCACTTTTCCAGAAATTGTTGACTAAGTCCAATTTTTTTTCTTTCTATCAATGAAAGAATGATTAGTAAAAGATTTTTAAATCCTGAGTCGTAGTTTGGTTGCAAGGACGGAACCCCCGAGACAATACTCATGCACTCCCGAGCGAAATCAAGAGTATTGGGGATTGATAGGACAAAACCCCGTCTGAAGAGCTATTCTTTTCAGACCTGTCATTCCAACCAAGAAAAATAATTAATGCGCCTTCGAAACTGCCCGAGACGAAACTCATACACACTCGAACGAAATCAAAGGGTGTTTGGGCAGGAAACAACAATTCGGCAGGACGGAACCACCCGAGGCAAAACTCAATGCACCCCCGAACGAAATCAGGAGTGTGGGTGATTGAATGCAGGACTAAACCCCATCCGAAAAAAGTTATTACTCTTCGGACCCGTCCAACCGTCACTAATAAAGAAAAAGCTTAACTCGCATTGACGTAATTGACTTGCTAGCTCGTTCAACTGCAATCTCGGGTGAATCTTCACTATTAATTATGGCTGAGAGATTGTAAATGTATCGTTTATGTTCATTACATTTATCAGCAAAGAAATCATCACACTGTTGTCGATACAGTAGGAAAGTTAACAATGACCAGTCGTGGTCAAGGGTGAAGTAGTCATCGTCCAATGTGATTCCTATTGAAAAGGTAAAACTCTAAACACCAAAGAAGACGAAAATACCATAAAACCATAAAATATATAACCTTACCATCCATGTTCTTTTGTTAGAAAAAATACTCTAGAGTACAAAAGTCTATTCTGGCCGAAACACACGTAATTCTGAAGATCAATGCACATTTCGCATGTCGGGGTCACCTTAATGTTGAATGCGTAAAGTATGCATGTCTCCTTTCCGTTATTGTCTTGCCGCCATTCAGAAACTAGTGATGTGCATCATGTTAACGGTAATATTCTTAATTATTCCCATGCACGCATGCAAGATTCAAGGGTTAACTTACCCAAACTGGCAATTTTCAACTTCAAGCACGACATTCCTATATGCATTCATGCGCAGTCATACCGGTAGTCGCAGTCAGGGATTTTACTAAATTAGGAAATCGCATTCTAGAATAATTCCTGTGTCGTCCCATCAATTTGATTGGCTGTGTCACATTTTTTTTATGCTGTGGGCTCTCTCGGTATTTTATCTATTCATTCGATCAAACGATATACGAATAGCTAATATTAGACGATTTAGGTAGCGCACCCTGTTCAACAGAAACACCTATACGTGGCTAAAATTTTTTATTATACAAATCTGTAGTGTGTTTGTGACCCGTTTACAAACAAGCTATACGTACAGTGATAAGCCTCATAACGATAAGGCCAAACTTCTATATGTGACATTTCGAATTTATTGCCAATTTAATATATATCGATATTACAGAAAAACGTTAACTTTATTTTGGAGTAGCAAAGCCACGAATTACAATTTACATGAACTTGTGTGTGGGTAGGGTGTTTATAAACTGCAAGAAAATCCAAATTCATGAAAAAAATGTAATATAGAGTGTGACCTCGAGGTCACAGTATCACGTGATAATGGCACAGTAATAGCCG